AAACCATCGTAACCTCTACGGTATAACGTATGGGTCTCGGCATTATAGAAGAATCTTGGCGCTCTTTGGCGAATTGATTCCCTTTCTTTTACATCTTCTGGCAGAATACCATACTTGACGTAGTCAATGATGGGAAAACACCAATCTCGGGACTCAGACCCAATTTGAGTTGAATTCACCTCCTTAGCGTCTACGTTCCCGTCATCTTCCTCTTCAATATCCCTACTGTATATGGGTACGCAGAGTTGATGCGTCCGTACTATGACTAATAGCTCAGTTTCGGGAGGCTGTGCCAGTGATACCGCTAGTGCCGCCAGTGCATCTGCATAAGCGTTCTGGAGACGAGGGATATATTCAATGAAGAATTCTTCAAAAGATTCTGCCATTTTGACGGCTTCCTGGTGGTACGGGATCTGTCCCTTGACTGACTTTTGCTGTTTGAAGTGCAAATCATACTGGGACAAGAGGATGGCCCATTTTGCCAACCGCCAATTCATCGGATATCGATATCCGGTTGTGTCATAAATACTCGCACGGGATTAACATTGGAGATAACGTAAATTGTCTGTCCCACTAAGTAATGCCGCATCTTTTGCACTGCAAACACCAACGCGAGACATTCTTTCTCAATCATCGGATATCGAGACTCAGCGCCCACCAAAGTCTGACTTAAATAATAAACTGCCTGTTCGTGACCATTATCATCGTCTTGTGCTAACAAAGCACTTATCGAATGGTTCATCGCCTTGATGTAAATCAAGAACGGTTTACCTGATTTTGGTGCAACGAGAACAGGAGGATTTGTCAGATATGTCTTGATATCCTCGAGTGCCTTTTGGCAGGCATCGTCCCAAATAAATGACACACCCTTCTTGTTTAGCTTAGAGAAAGGTTGGCACTTCCCAGAGAGATTTGAGATGAACCGCCTGATGTAAGCTAAACGCCCTTGCAATCCTCTGAGTTCTCTCAGATTCCTCGGTCGTTTATTGCCTTCACCTTATCGGGATCGATATGTATACCTTTAGTGGTGACGACGAATCCGAGGAATTTTCCGCTGGACATTCCAAGGAATGATTTAGTGGGGTTCATCTTCAATTGATGACTCCTCATGAGATCGAACATCGTCTTCAAATCCTTAATGTGATCCTCTTTGTTACGGCTTTTTACAACCAAATCATCAACGTAGCATTCGACTGTCTTTCGGAGGTGTTCTTGGAAAATCTTAGTCATTGCTCGCTGGTACGTGGCGCCTGCGTTCTTCAGACCGAAAGGCATTACCGTGTAGCAAAAGATACCGAGGGGCGTTCTGAACGCTGTATGTTTCTCATCATCCGGGTGCATCTTGATTTGGTTATACCCCGAAAAGCCGTCCATGAAGAACATCCTCTCGAATCCACATGTATTGTCGATAATGACATCCGTGATTGGGAGAGGAAAATCGTCTTTTGGACATGCTTCATTCAGGTTCCTAAAGTCGATGCAAATCCTGATTTTGCCATTCTTCTTCATGACGGGAACGATGTTGGCTAACCAGTCTGGATGTTGTTCCTCTCGGATAAATCCTGATTCGATCAACTTCTTAACCTCTGCCTCAATGGCTTCCATAATCTGCGGACGAAACCGTCTTTGCTGTTGCTTGACAGGTTTGGCATCCGGCTTGATATCGAGGCGGTGCATTGCGACATTGGGGTCGAGCCCTGGCATGTCTTCATAATTCCATGCGAAGACGTCGATATATTCCCTGATAATGCCTCCTTCTCATCTGGAGGAAGACTACCGCTGATGAATATGGGCTTTGGATTGGCCTCATCGCCCATATTAATTTGAACTACTTCATCTTCGGTTGGTGGTTCTCTCTGTTCGAACCTATCACCGTACTGCATGTTTAGGTGATGAACCCATGGGTCTTCCCACGTTGGCATTTGATCGTCATCCTGCAACGTAGATGGATCAGTTGTAGCCATATTTACCATTAGGGCTTTGAATGCCTCTCCTAAACTTGTGTCGGAATCCTCAGCTGAAGA